TCTCAATCCTAGAATTTTGGCTGCGCTCAAACACTAAATGTTTCGCCAAGACATTATCTCAGAAGACAGCGCACTAGTAACTGATTTATTTATTGGAAGTACAGCCAATGAATACAGAGAGTGGGAGTCAAACCAAACGTTGACGGCACAACACTAAATATTGTTGGCGTGGACTTGGCCAAAGAGTGTCACTGATACTATTTTTTTTATCCATAGCTTAAAAACTTGAGGAAAGGAATTCAGCAGATGTTCTATTCCAGCTTTGATGGCTTAATCACTCCTGAGCCTCAAAGCTTGACAACAGTGCTTGTTGGGTTGGAAGCATAAAATAGCACAACAGGGGAGAAATTAATAGCATGGAGTAAAAGTACAACAGAAAAATAAAAAATCAGAAAGCTGGGGGTTCAAACCTCACCTTAGGACTTTGCACTATAATCTAGACTGACTTTACAATGTAGTACTGGGAGGGCATTAACCAAATGCCCATCTGCCTGTTCAGGTGGATGTTAAAAATCCTGTTGCACTGTTCAAAAAGGGAATGGAGTTTCTTTCTCCTTATGTCCTGGCAACAAATCCACCCAAATAAAATTGGTCACTCGCTCCATGGCTATTTGCTGTGATATACTTGAAATGATAATAATCTGCATTTGATATAACGCCTCATCATGTCATTGAGAGGTCTTAAAGTGCTTCACAGAATATACTGTAAAGTGAATTGACTAATTTGTGGGTGAAATGCAGCAGCCAATTGTGCACAGCAATGTCTCATAAACAGCCATGAAGTGAATGACTAATTTTATTTGGTGGATCATTTGACAGGACACCGAGAGAAACTCACTTCTCTTTTCGCGTAGTGCCACTGGATCTTTAATATCCACTTGAACAGGCAGACGGGACCTCGGTTTAATGTCTCACCTGAAGGACAGCTCTATCAACGAGGTGTACTATCAGCATTTCATTGGAGTACCAGGCTAGACTATGTAAATTCAAATTCCCAAATGTGAATTTGAAGTCCTGTTGTTCCTATCTCACTGTATTAAAAAGTTCATAACCTTGACGTATTAGTAAGATCAATGTAAGATTTATAGGCTAACTGTGTTGACAGCAAGACTGCCAGCACAATGTTCCTCAGCTCTCTGATCCCAGGCTCAGACTGCAGCGCAAGATTAATGGACTGACTCTGATAGGCAAAAAGCGGCCACTAATGATGATGAAAGAGTTCCATCGAACAAACACAGGAATACATCTCAATCTCGGAAGCATCTCTTTGCAATATACTGCAGCTAATTCTGAACACATTTATAGAGAGGAAAATTGTGATCGAAAGTGTCAAGCGATTCAATTCAGCTGGAAGTTGCATCAGTACAGATTAATGCCACGTAGCTCCAATTAAAGTAGAAAGATGCCTATATTGGGTCAAATGTCAGAGGTTGAATGTCAGCTGCATGCAATTGAGTTTGACACAGCGAAAGAAGCTGATCTTTAACGACTGCAGTGATAGCATTTCCAAAGTCATAGTAAATCTTTGTTGCCCCACGCTGGATTGTTATGTGCCATGCGACTTCAGAACGAGGCAAATCATCTTGCAAGAAGCCAGGCAAAGGAAATCCCAAGAAGGGGAAAAAATAATTGGAAAATAATATTGGCAAGTCTAACCCTGGGCATTCAGGAAACTTCTTTAATGTTCTGGCCGCAGGTTGGCCATCCCTACTCTAAAAGTACAACCCACTTAGTCCTTTTCTCCCACAAAATATACAGTCAATTCACTTTACAGTGTAATCTGTGAAGCGCTTTGAGACGTCTCAACGACATGATAAGGCGCAATATCAAACGTAAGGATTATTATTAGTCCCAATCCCTGTCTTTTCTCCACCCCCATCCCCACCAACTCATTTTCTTGTTCAGAGTCGTAGAATATGTAGAGCACAGCAGGTCAGAATTGAGTGAGCTTCGTAAATGTCATTTTATATGATTTTAGATGTCACTACCTTCCCACATTTCTAAAGCCCTTGAGTATCATGGCCAAATCCACTTGTCCAGGTGCTATTGGATTCTTGGGGCTATAACTTGTTGGCAGTCCCATTTTCCCTTATGGTCACAACAGGCCATGTCAGTCACTGGAGTCTGCACTGTTGGTATACTGCCTGGAAATCCTGCCTCTAAAATCCAGTTTGGAGCTTCAATAAGATCCTCGTCAAACCTTCACTTTTTGTTGTTTATTGTTATCATCAATCTTTTTCCGATGTCTGAGCACCTTTATCACTGCAGTCGTTATGTACATTGACCAAGTGCATTCACTAGGGGAAAACTCCAAACTGCTTGGCACAGGGAAATGGTTGAGTGGGTGGGGGCAGCCTCTCCGGGAGAGTAAGTGATCAAAACTGCAAGCTAAGCAGTCGGCCACCCACTGCGTAGTGCGGTGATGTCAGCGGTTAAACCTCCTTGACCTTCTGTGGCTCTCAGAGACTGCACAGCGGCTGTGTGAGCAGTTGTCTACCTGGAAAGGAAGTGGCTCCAATATTTCTTTCAGAATTGGCCTTCACAATGTAAAGCATATTGGCAAAAGCTTCTGTCCTCGTGCTATTTTTTTTCCCATTGTGCCTTTTCTTTAGAGTTGGCTTTTCTTATGTTAGGTAGTCAACACAGTCATTTAGCAGAGTGTAATCTCATGTGACATTTTTAACTGTCTTTTTTTGTAAATTATGAAAAGTAATACAATAATAATAATAATATTCCTTGCATTTGATATAGTGGCTTTTATTTTGGGAAGACGTCTCAAAGACGTCTCTTTTCGAATCGTGCCATGAGATCTCTAACATCCACGTGTACAGGCACAGAAGGGACCTTGCTATTAATGCTTCATTAAATCCCTGACTGTCCAGCATCTTGGGACGTCCTCCTGACGTGAAAGGCGCCATACAAATGTAAGTTGTTGTTGTCTTTCATCCATAGGACAGCAACTCCAACAACACAGCACAACACAGCACACCCCCAGCGCTGTATTGGAGTGTCATCCTTGACTATGTGAGTTCAAAGTCCCGACGTGGGGCATGCATGTGTAACCTTCTGACTCAGAGGTAAGAGCGTAACCAACTGAGTCAAGCTGACATCAGCTTACAAAAATCCACAATAAATCCTGTGAAGTGCTTTGAGACAATTGTGGGCGATTTCTCAGTCATATTTAAAATTCCCCAATTTCATCTGCTGCTGTACGATAAGACAAATGGGGATTTAATGTCTGCAGATCACGACCAGCTGCAATTCTTTCCAATAAGTGTTTATAATGGGAATTCTTATTAGAAAGATACAACAGAAAGATCACTATTTTAGCAACCAAAGTACATTAGACCCCAAAACTCCCATTCGTTTTATAAATAACAGTAGTTTCAAATTGACTATATCTGGCACATTTGTGACTGAGAATCACACACAGGAGTGACCCACATCATAGTTTGTGTTTCATGGAACACAAAGTGATGTCAATGGAACTTCCTGTGCATAACACACGTGACATTAACGGTAACCTGAAAGTTGACTGTTTTTTCTCACTTCGCTTTATTGCTCCCGCAGAGATATTGGATCTGGAGGAACCATACTATAATAAGATGGCCCTGATTTATAATCTGCTGTACATTTCTTCATTAACCCACGGTTAATAATGGGAGCTAACTTTCTTCAGTTGAACGTCAAAAAGACAGAGGCTCTTCTGATCGGCTCCCGTCAGCGCCTCCACACCTCAGGCGCTGACAGCATCACCATCCATGGTTGCACACTCCACCTCACTGAGCCAGTCCGGAACCTTGGGGTCTTGTTTGACCCTCAGCTATCCTTTCTACCCCACATCTGTACCATGACCCGCTCTGTCTTCCCCCACCTCGTAACCCAGCTCCACCACTGTCTCACACCGCAGGCCACCGAAACTCTCATACACGCTTTCATTACATCAAGGCTTGACTAGGCAAACTCATTGCTTGTCGGCCTCCCCAACTCCTCCCCCCACAGGCTGCAGATCATCCAGAACTCTGCAGCCTGTGTCCTCTCCCACACTAGACTCCACGACCTTATCACCTCCATCTTTGCTCAACTCCACCGGCTTCCCATCACACAGAGGATACAGTTCAAGATCCTGCTTCTCACCTTCAAAGCCCTCCACAGCAGTCTTGCTCTCCCTTACCTCTGCGACCTCCTAACACCCTACCATCCTGCTCGCTCGCTCCCTCCGTTTAGCGCGCCCTGGCCTGCTTCACGTCCCCACCTCATGCGCCCCACTATTGGAGGGCAAGCCTTCCGCCAGTCTGCACCCACCCTCTGGAACTCCATCCCGCAGTCCCTCTGCCTCGCTCCCTCCCTCCCTCGCCACCTTCAAGACCCAGCTCAAGACCCTCCTCTTCGACCGTGATTTTGATCTCCCTGCTTCCCCCGCTGCCCTCCACCATCCCTGACCACCAGCTCGGGTCCATAACTCTGTCTGTCCAGCACCTTGGGACGTCCTCCTGACGTGAAAGGCCCTATACAAATGTAATTTTGTTGTCATTGTCGGTTTTCTCATTAAGAACTGTTTAATCAGCATTTTAATCCTTCTGTGGCAATACCTTAATATCACATTCAGTCGCCATCAAATCCATAAGCAAGTACCAGGCAGCAAATGTGTCTCTTCCAAGTCAAGTTTCAATCAGAACATGACTCCACAAATAAGGGAACCAACTTTCTCATCTTAAACTCAGGGAAATGTACATTATCTAGAGCTTCAGAAAACACCCAAATAATCTCCAGGCAAAAATTATCAACAACATGTTCCTTAAGGAAGGAGAACCATGAAGGAAAGAGAGTCTGAAATGACTGCAATGTTCATCAGATATTGGGCACATTAACACTGTCTTTAATAGGTACAGAGAACTCCGACTGGGAAAAGGTCTGTGTCACATTAGTCTATTATCTCAACGCTGCTCACAGTAAAGGCCACTTTGTTACAGCTCAGATAATTGCAAAAAAAAACTCACCAGCTGTTTTCGGTTTTCTTCTAGAAAAAGACCCAGTAGTCCAAGGAATGATCCAAAGGCAAGCTACGGAAGAAAATAGGAGTTTTAATATGTTCACATGAAGACAGAGAGAAAAGTGTGGAACCAGAAAAGGCCCCTCAAGCGCATGTGTGGCACATATCCATAAATATATGCCTGTTCAGGTGGACGTTAAAGATCCAGTGGCATTATTCGTAAAAAGGGAGTTTCTGCTGGTCCTGGCCAATAATCTCCCATAAATAAAACTGGTCACTCACTTTATGGCTGTTTTTGGGAACACTGCTGTGTGAAAACTGTCTGCTACATTTGCCTACAAATACATGGTGTGTAAAATCATGTGAACCACTTTGAGACATCTTGATGGAGTGTTAAGGTGCGGTATCAAATGCAAGGATTATTATAACCTGCCCCATCGTGGATTACACCACAGCTGGTCTATCTCCTGCAGGTGAACTCTGCATAGTTCCATGATCCCTGATCACCAAAAGTTAATCAGGTAAAAACTCCATAACTTTATTCAAACCCCATCATCACTCATCCAAAGACCATGTCTCCTCTCCCTCCAGCAGCACAAAACCAATTCTGCTCCATGGAGAATGTGTTCATTTCAGTCTGTAGCTATAATATCCAGTATTGTTAGATCCTGCCAGATACTTACCCTGTTCCCTTGTTTTTTTAAGACCTCAGTGTTTTTGTTGGGAGTCTGTTCCATATGGCCACTATTCTGTGAGGAATAAAACTTTCTGATCTCTAGTCAATAACACAACTTGTATTTATATAGTTCCCTTCATGTGGGGTAGCATCTTGGAGTGCTGAACAGTGGCATAGCCTGAATCTAAGTCGGGGTCAAAGAGGAAGGTCTTCAGGCATGATCTGAAAATGGGGAAGGAAGAGGCAAGGCAGAGAGATTGAGGGAGAGAGTTCCAAAGTCCTAATCAAGGCTTTTTGATTTTAAGCCCTTGATGTCCAGTTCTGCTCTCAATACCTGAGTCCAATAGTCTATTTGTTACTTGCACAATCTAAAGAATTTAAAGAACTAGATCATGTCCTTGCTCAAACTTTTTGTAATGACAAGTTCAGTTTTGTGATTACTGTTCATTCATCATTCAGAGCAATAAATCACTCCACCCACTGTTAAAACTGTACTAGAAAGCTAAAAAAAATAATAATACTAAATTTGAAACAGAATCTTTTACGTTTCACAGGATTTAATGTAAAGTGGAATAACTGCATCTTGTAGGTGAACAGACCATAGTAACAATTTCAGGCAAAAATAGACCTATTTTTACACATTTTTATGCATCTACCTGTCCTTCCAACTTTTCAAAAATTCCTTCAATATATCCCTCTCATCATCTAATAGTCTCAAATTCATTTCATTTACAGGAACAGAGCTTGCTCCTCTTGAAACCCTCTATTCTGCCTTGTTCCACAGGGTGGGCACCCTTTTATTAACAACAAATTCTCCTGCAATTCCTAGCATTTCTATTATTATATATAATAATAATCCTTGCTTTTGATATAGTGCCTTATCACATTGTCAAAACAGCTCAAAGCGTTTCACAGGATTGTAAAGCAAAGTGACGGTATTTTGTGAGTGACCAAAACAACAACAACAAACTGCATGTATATAGTGCTCTTGACGCAGGTTGTGTCTCAAACTCTGAAATCCCAAAGCCTTGGCTCTTGCCAACCTATGCCTAATACTTTCTGGAATTAGGTAAACAGGATTCATCCCTCGAGGAAGAGAGTGTCTATTTCATTCCAACAATCTATCTCTGGAATTTCCATGTGCATGGAATTCTCAGTTTGGCTTGAATATTCTTAAGCATGGTGATGGGTTTCCGCATGTATCAGACACCTGGCTGACACGCCCACAAATAAATAATCACAACTGGTCCTTGCAGGACTTTCTCAGGTTTACGTACAATGATCCCGGATGCGTAGCCGATGATGCTGATGTTTTCTGTCCTCGTCGTGGTGTAAATGCCGACAGCAATGATGAGCAGTGACAGAAGCAGCAGAATACTGGCGAGCCACACAACCCTTTTCTTCCTTTTCATCAGCAACTCTGGAAAAGACAGGGAAATCTCTATCTTGGACCCTAAAGTTGTTTTTCAAACTTACGAGTGTTAAATGAGTTTCCCTTGTCAGGTTGAATTGCAATCAGTTAGTAAGATATCTGTAAGATTAGTGGCTTGACAGCTGCCTATTTACAAGGTAGGGGATGGGAAGGGTAGGTGCGGTGTTTGGATATATAATTATAGTCCTTACATTTGATATTGTGCCTTTCATGTTGGGAAGACGTCTCAAAGCACTTCGCAGAATTTCCTGTAAAGTGTAGTGACTGTGTATTTTGTAGGCAAGCTCGGGAGCCCGTTTGCCCACAGCAATCTACCGCAAACAGCCATGATGATCTACTTTATCAGAGGGATTGTTGGACCACCGAAAGAAACGCGCTTCGCTTTATGAGAATCTTTTTATGTTCACCTAAACAGACAAATGGGGCATCGGTTTAACATCTCATCTGAAAAACGGTACCTCCAACAATCCAGCGCTCCTCCCAGCACTGTATTTCCATGCCTAGATTATATCAATTTGAAAGCCTCAATGTGGGGCTTGAAACCACAGCTTTCTGACTCAAGAGGTGAGAATACCACTGAGGATCACACATTAAACTCCAGAACACTGCAGAAGAAGAATCATCAGCTGCCAACTGAACTAATTTAGCTTAGCTGCAACTTGAAAGGGTTTGTTATCAATTAAACAGTAATAATCCTTGTATTTGATATAGCGCCTTATTTAGATGTCTCAAAGCGCTTCGCAAAATATACTGTAAAGTGTATATTTTGTGGGTGAAATGCGACAGCCAATTGCGTACAGCAAACACAAACAATCATGGATTGAGTGACCAAATTAATATTTTAAATTATATTAAGGGAATACTACCCCCAGAAAGCAATCCGCCAGTCAACTAATAACCGGGTCCTAACTTACTGCTAGGTAAACAATAACCCACACACATAAACCATATATCCTAGTACACTGAAAATATTGGAAATGTCTGTTACTGGATAGACGCACAAAGTCTTGGTGTAAAATTTCCCCCAGATGAGGAATTTATCAGAGTTCACTACATGGCCAAACACCATTATAAGTGCACGCTGCTAAATCAGGTATATTTTCGGAGAGGACAAAAATTTTAACTTTCAAGTTTTTAACCACAGAAGCGATCTTTGCTGCATTTTTAATCGAAAGTGCTCAAATCTAAATTTTTTTTAATTTTCCATTGTTTAAAAAATATATTTTTTCCCATGCTGAGAGGTGGGAGCAGATAACCCATGATTCAGAACTTTATATTTTCCATCTCATAAATAAAACTGAATGGCAAGTCTTTCCACAGATATTTCAACAAACTGCATTCTGTAATAGTTTGCAAAGTGCAAACTGCAATAGTCTATTAATACTGTTGTTTCTCCTCTCCCTCCCTCTCTCCCTCCTTAATTCAAATTCCATTTAAACATAACTTACCATAACTTTCCAGTATTCGGTGAATTGAATGGATATATTTTATGAACTTCATGGTTTTGAAGTTGGGCAGCGTTTTTTGCAATCATATGACCACCTCAAGCACAAATTGGACGCTCCATCTGTTTCCTGCTCCACTAACTCGCCCTGAGAACAGTCTCCATTTTGCCGAGTACAACATTATGCAACTCTTCAATGTCAAAGACCCGACATTTAAAAAGACTCCAGTAAATGTGCCCGTGACATCGCTTATAAGCCGGATAGCAAAATAATCTTCAAAAGATATTGGTTTTGCAAGATTTTATCATTTCAACGTTGCTTTAATCCTACCAGGTTCCCGCACTAAATCATCACTATCACAAGATGTTTTGTTTAGTTTATAAGCTATCAGATGTTGATATTATTTTTTCAGAGCTGGACTATAATAATACTTTTTTTGTGCCACGTATATCGGAATTATTTTATTACAAAGCTAGGATTCTTTAAAGTACGGTATAATTGTACGACTCTCAACATGATCATTTTAGTTTATTATTTCTGATATATTTCTCTTCGGTCTTTTCGTGGATGGATAATATTGCCGGGGTGGGGGAGGTGGGGGTGGGGACTGCTGTAAGTGTACTACACGCCATCGTAGAGATGGAAAATTGGGACACAGTTGAAATAAAAAAGTATTCAGGAACACAATGAAGTAAATTCTGTGAAGTCTCAAAGACGTGATAGATATCAAATGCAAGGATTATTACTATTATTATTATATTCCAACAGAAAAGTTAAAGTTAAAATGTCATCTCTTTTAAAGAGTATGTGTGTGTGTGTGTGTATATACATATGTATATATACTGGGGATAGTTATACAGTACAGAAAAACAAATAGATCCATTTAACTCTAAAGGAAATCTCATTCTGTTTAACGTTCAGGAAAAATCACACAAAGAAGTTAACAAAATGTGCAGAACCATGGCTAAAAGCTTGTGTTTAAAGTCCTGATAGACCTTAAAAGTCTAAAGGCTAGATTTGGGAATTTTGAAAATGCTTCCCTACACAAAACATGATTCTCTCTTCTGAATAAGTTTGGAAAACGAACGCTATCAATTGAAAGCTATATATAATAACCGTGCTTTTCTAGAGTTCCATAGTTTTTTTTTTTGGGTGGTGGTGGGGTTATCTTTTTTTCCCTCTCTAACTTAGTTTAAACTTTGGTAAAAGTTGCTTTCAGTGCAAACTGTTACTGAAAGCAACGCATAAAAGTAAAAATTTCAGCCCACATATTTCACAACAGGCAACTTGTGTTGTAAAAAAACAATCGAATTGGGATATAAAACCCGTTGGAACGAAAGTAAATTGCGGTTTGAGAAATGCAGCGAAATGTCGCGTCCGAATTAGATGGGAAACGTGTTATTTCGGAAGAAATGCATCGCATCCTAACGTTTTTCGCGACTGCAGAGCGGATAAAATTCCTGCGGCTTTCCGTGTCACAGTTACCAATAAAATCCGAATGAAACTGCGCGATCGAAAAAGAAAAGGAAAGAAAAGAAAACAAGACGAGGGCACAGATAAACCGTGTGGATAGCAAATAAAATAAAATTATAAAGGCAAATGCAAACGAGGGGCCGTTGGAGAATTGGCATCGGTGGAGAATTGGAATGATTTATCTTTCTGTTTCGGGGTCGTTTTCTTAAGGAAGATGTTTACTTTGAACCGTTAAAGTGTCAAAAACTAAGTTTAAAGTAAGGTTAAAGTTAAAGCACGCTCTCCCAGCTGGAAAACAGACAGCCTTACATTTTGGAAGGAGCGTGGAAATGATGACTTCTTTTTTTGGGGGGTGGTGGGGGGTTTAACCTGTATTTAAACTGGTGGCTTTCAAATTAAATTAATATTCACCCCTTTATTGTTCTCTGATTTTACCTGTCACACATCCAAAGGACATACACACACATACATACACACACATACACATACATACACACACATACATACATACATACATACACATACATACACACACATAACACACAGTCTTAAAACGACCAACCGAAGGAGGAGGGGAAAAAAACACATAGTTTTGCACTCATTTCAGACTCACCGAATACATCCAAATGGAGTTGAGATAAATTCTCCCCATAAGTCGGTTGTGTTTCTGTCATTGTTCGGCAGTGGGGGGTTCAGCCCCTTCTCTGCCCCACACAGAAATCTGGGAAGGTTGTGGGGGGGGTGTTGGGGGGGTGTTGGGTGGAGGGGGATCAGCAGAGCATTTTGTTACTGTCACTGGTGTAATCGCAGGGCTGATGTCTGTGTGTGTGATGTCTGTGTGTGTGTTGTCTGTCTGTGTGTCTGTGTCTATCTCAGTGTCACATAATACCTCGATCACAGCTCTTTAACTCAGTTCCAAGCCACGTACCCTCCATCCGCACACTCCCACTCTGCTGGGGGGCAATTTTGAGTTTGCAATCACATCCCTTTTTTTTTATTCCTCGTCCAGAAAGTTATCCAAGAGATTCCTCTCTCTCTCTCTCTGTCTCTCTCCCTCTCTCTCTCTCTCTCTATATATATATAAACACGATCCTTTTTTTTTGGTCCAGATGGAGTGTTCCTTAAGCCCCTTGAGACCCTTTGGATAATAATAATAATAATAATATAAATCACAGTTATCACATAATTATAATGTACTGTCATATGTAATATTGTATTATATTCGCTCGTCACAGCTCCTCTGTGTATAATTAAACACAGGTTAAGAGGTTATAGACAGATCTATAATTAAAGTAAGAGTTATATAGTTATAGTTACAGACCCCCCCCCAAAAAAAAATCTATATTTAAAAGTAATACAAATAAAAAAAAGGGGGTGCCAATTAAAAATGCAGGATTCTACAACTAAAATGCCTTAATATATACCTTTTTTAGCAAGTCAGTTTTTAAAAGACAAAACGAAGTGAATAAGGAAGGATATGTTTTTCACTGAACGAATTTCACTAAAACCAAATCACCCACATGATAATACCTAACACACATATAACAACAAGCCCACTCTGGTCTGTAACTGTAACCACTGCAATATAAGTGTTTAATTGCACATAGAGGGGAGTTTGAAATGTGAGCGCTTTCTCACAAGGAGTTTCGATGCAGAGTTCACAATAATAATAATAATAATCCTTGCATTTGATATAGCGCTTTTCACGTCGGGAGGACGTCCCAAAGCGCTTCACAGAACACACTGTAAAGTGAATTGACTGTATATTTGTGGGCGAACGCGGCAGCCAATTGCGCACAGCAATGTCCCACAAACAGTCGTAGATTGAAAATGACCAATTTATTATTGTTTTGGTTTTGGAGGGATTATTATTAGGCTCTGTGTGGAGTAAGGAAACTTGCCCAAGGTTTCGCCCTCTGCCTGAAATTGAACTCAGGTCTCTCGCTTGCAAAGCGAGTGCTCTAACCACTGAGCTACAATAGTATCTAAAAGGGGAACAGGGAAGGAGGAAAACATTTGGGGTCTACCTTCAGAGCACATGAGTGGACCCCAAAGGTTGACTCACTTTCCTTTCTCCATAGATGCTGCCTGACCTTCTGAGTGTTGGAAACTACTTCTGTTTTTGTTTGAGATTTCCAGCATCTGCAGTGTTTTGCATTTAGGGGGGAGGAGGAAAATTTTGTTCCAGGGAAGTGTGACAGGAGATGGCTCCAGTGAATGAGCTACACACCAGCAGAGAAAGGATAGGTCAATTGACTTCTCCTGACTTCTGTTATCAACACAAACAAATGCAATGATTTCGCTATTGTTTGCTTTCATAGTTGTGATGTCAAGACAAGATTATAATAATAATAATAATCCTTGCATTTGATATAGCACTTTTCATGTCTTCTCGACGTCTCAAAGCACTTCACAGAATAGACAGCAAAGTGAATTAACTATATTTGTGGGCGAAATAATAGTGTATGTGCCTCATCTTGCAGTATGTGTGTGTAATACAGTGCTAATCTACGAGAATGCAGCGTTCAATAAGAATAGTGTAAAGCCACATCACAGAACATGGGGACTAGCAAACTTGGTTAAAACTAACCAAAACAGATCAATAATTAACTGTTGCCTTTATTTCTACATTGTCTGAGCCTTTTAAGTAAATGGTTTGATTTGTCAATTCTGTGTGAAATTGTGGGTTAAGATAAACCATTACAGAATTTGACTTTCAGATAAATATTTTAACCATTCAGACTTAAAATACCATATATCTATTTTGAAGCGATGATTCGCTTTTTTTTAATACTTCTATTTTCCTCACCATGTGTTGGGAGATAGAAGTCATTTTACGACAATAGAAATCATTGTGATGTTTTAGATACACTTCAATATTTTCGACAATTTATGAAATTATGAATTATGAAAAGATACAATGTTAGATTGCAGCAATCCTCTCTGCAATTCCCAAATATAACTAGCACCTCATCGCTGTCAGGCTGTGCTTAGCAATGAATTTCAGAGTCTTACTGGTCCAGCGGGAGTGATATGAAGGGATGTCTTGACTGGTCAGATGTAGTGTATCTGTTAGAGTACTCAACAACAACAACAAAATTGCATTTGTATAGTGCCTTTCAATTCGGGAGGACATCCCAAGGCACTGGACAGTCAGTGTTGTGGACCAGAGCTGGAGGTTGGGAACTGGGGAGGGTGGAGGGCAGCGGAGGAAGCAGGGTGATCGAAAGCATGGAGATGGATCTTGAAGGAGGCAAGGGAGGGGGGCAAGGCGGATGGACTATGGGATGGAATTCCAGAGGATAGGGGCAGAAGGCTTGCCCGCCAAAGATGGGGCAGGTGAGGTGGACAATGTGAAGCAGGATGGAGTCCGCTGAGCGGAGGGAGCGGCCACGATGGTAGGGGGTTAGGAGGTCGCAGAGGTAGTGGGGAGCAAGGTCATCGAGGGCTTTGAAGGTGAGGACTTGGATCTTGAACTGTATCCTCTGAGTGATGGGAAGCCAATGGAGTCTGACAAAGATGGGGGCGATAGGGTCACGGAGCCTGGTGCAGGAAAAGACATGGGCTGCAGTGTTCTGGATGATCTGCAGCCTATGGAGGGAGGAGTTGGGGGGGCCAACAAGCAAGGAGTTTGCATAGTCAAACCTCAGTGTTATGAATGCATGTATGAGGGTTTCTGCAGCTCACAAGTGTGAGACAGTGGTGGAGCTGGGCAATGTTGCAGAGGTGGAGGAAGGCAGAGTGGCACGTATGTGTAAGAGTAGTTGAGTGTCAAACTCAGCACAGAAACCCGATTGAAGGAGTTTGTGAAGTGAGTGGCGGGAGAGGCAGGAGTGAAGCTGAGAAGCAACAGCTTGTTCCAGGACCTTGGAGAGGAAAGGAAGTTTCGCCACACATGCGAGAGGACCTGGGTTCGATTCACGGGCAGGTGAAATCTTAGATAAGTTTCCTTACTCCACATGCCTCTGTTTACCTAGCAGCAAGTAGGAACTCGGTTGTTAGTCAATTGGCGGATCGCTTTCCGGGGGTAATAATCCTTGTAAAAAACAATTAATAATAATTTAGTCATTCAATCCAATGCCATGACCTTTTCGCATACCCACAACCAGAGTAATACCTAAATAGAGCTATGTTAAATGTGCTTTCCAAAAATGTCATTCATCCAGAAAAAAGAGAGCAGACACTTGTGTTAAATATTAAATGGATATTTTTGGGAGCAAAAACTCAAGATATCCCACAGGTTCTTTGGTGCTATGCCCAAATCATTCAATCTCTCAAGAACAATTAAAAACACAGATGCTGAATGCTATGTCCAGATGTAAGGTTAGATTCTATGAGCCAAAATCATACCCTTTATTTTAGCAATGTGTTTTTCCAAGATTCAAGAAATGTTATAGATCTACCTGTGAGACACAATAAATTCAGATGCACCAGAGTTGCTCCCAAGAAGGTGTTTTTATTATTGTGTGTCAATATTTTAGAAATCAAAAAGAGCTGTTGAGTATTGTGTGTGTGAGTGTGTGTACACACACACCATATTATCATATGCAGTCCAGATGTTTTCCAAATTTTGCCCACAATTTCATTAAGCTTCAGTTGGTATGGTGATGGCCCAAAGATAATGACTAAATTCTTTCACTCTTGGTCTGATACTTTAAAACCTTCCCAGTAACGCTAAAAACAAAGAGTTTTGCCTAGTGTGGGGAGAGAGTTGGACAAATCTGTTTATCTAGCGAGGAGGACAGCAGGTGTAAAGTAGGACGAAGGGCAAAAGAGAACATCGTGAGAGAGCGAGAGAGAGAAAAGGGAGTTGCCTGATTACTTGATTGTCTGTCTGTTTGTTTGTTTTTGTTTTGTGAAGAAAAGTATTGCAAAGCCAAATAAGGATTTTCGATAAAACTTTCTATTTGGATATTTTTCTTTTACTTCCTACTTTTAAAAACATGGCAATGCTAAAAATAGTAAAGAGGGTACCAGTTCCACAGAAAGTCTCGATTGAACCCCAAACCAGGTGACTTCGGCTTTGACTGGATTTGACCTTCAATAATCTCTCCTTCCTGTCCCCCTCCCCAACTGCTCATGCATTCAATGGCCATTTGGGATTGTCAGAAGCCACCAAGAAACAATCTGCAATGTTGGAAATTTCATCAAAAAATGCACTGACAAAAAATTGCATGAAATCTAGAAATGTTTTTTTTGAATGATAAGGGTAATAATTCCTTCAAAAAGTAATAATTAAAATAATAATTTGGTCACTCAATCCACAACTGTTTGTGGGATATGCTGTGCGCAATTAGCTGTCGTGTTTCGCTCAGAAAATACAGTCAATTCACTTTTTACAGCATATTCTGTGAAGCATTTTGAGACATCTCAACCACATGATAAGGTGCTATATCAAAAGCAAGGATTATTCTTTTATATATTGTAAATAACTGAATAATTGAGCAGTTGAATAATGCAGCGCAGTGTGCTGGACTCCTGTTGAGGGAATTTTTGTCTATTTACATTTGGGTTCAGGGGGAAATGTCACATTTTTCTCTCCCTGGCTCGCTTACACTGCTAATCAATTGATTTGGGTGATTAGCTAAGTTGGGAAGAGCCATCATACGTCAGATGACTTTAACAATTTTGTATGTTCCATAGCTCTGATTTTACATCCTGCAAACTCTTAACATGATAGGTGCTGAAATTGTATCTTACTCCACAGCAATTTATGAATTAACTCTGTTTTGCTCTGTATCTTCAGACGCCTTTCTCTGTTATATAACAAGAATGATTTCTGGATCAGCATTGAGTGTCACTGCCAAATCTTTTCATCATTGGTGTCAAAGCAGGTTCATGTCTACCTTATTTGGATTATATAATGAACTTGTGCTTAAGGTCCAAAAGACAGAAAAAGAAGGCGAAGAAAAGAAATTGCAAATGTCACCAAAACATGCCAAATTATAAATTGTGCAATTGAAAATCTCTGATATCTGCTAGGCAGAGGCGGAGCTGTGAAAACATGATTCTTA